CGAGGGTTAAAATAACAATAAATTAAGGGAAATACTTAAAAAGGGCAGGTTTAAAGAGTATTATCACAAGAAAGTATATCCGTTCTGTTTATTTATCAAGTATTGTTTGAGGTTACTTTTGAATACATTTATTGTTTTTTTTTTAATTTCTGTAGGCAGTCTATTAAATTTTTTAAAACTTTAATAAAAATTGTATTTTGGGAACTTTTAGTGATGGCTTGCCATACATGAAAGTCAGATTGGCTTCTTGTATTTTAGTTGTGCTATTTCGAATTATATTGAATTTTTTCTAATAAATCTGATGCGATGGTACTATGTCATTTCTATTTTATAAATAAATATCAGTCATGTACTGAACATAATCTTGAACTGAAAGCCAATTTATTTCTTTTAACATAGTTGCAATACTCATCCTTCAGTCCTTTATTAATATTATATAAACAGGCGAAGTAAGGATCCCAAGTATTTTACATGAGCAGGCTTAAGAGGTAAAGGGGCCAATTATTATTAGATAAATTGCTCAAACAAGTTTGTAAACCCTAATCAAAAGGCGATATAGAATGGTTTTAAAAATCAAGGCTTATGGAAATCATCACATGGTTTACCTAATTAATGCCAATGCTTCACAAACCAAAAAATTCAACGTCCTAATACTACTATCAACTTTCGGTCTTTCGTTCCAAGTTAAATCATTGCTCGTTTTTGTTACGCTACGAGTTTAGCCTTGTGTGGTATAGTTTAGTAAAGTAGGTATTATTCTCCCAAAATATGTGTAATCAAGAAGTCACTTAAGAGGAACGGTAAAAATTGCTAAATGTTCTATTGTTCAAGAAGTCGACAACTGCAACATATAAAAAATTCAGGAGATATCATATGCATTAAATTACTAATAGAATTAGCAAACAAGACATATTTCGTCAACCTTCTTGAGAATTTGTGTCAATTACAATCGGCCAATCTGATTGAATTTCACGACCCAGTGAATAAAAGCTTTAATCTTTTGCACTTTTGGCCTTTTCATTTTGTCACCCATGAATGCCCATCGAACATTTGTTAGCATCATCACCCAGCAAATGGCACTTTTGACAGTCGTTACGACTCTTCGGAAAGTTGGACTGAAAATGTCCCATTTGCTTACAAGTAAAACATTGGAGAGTTTTTCCTACGTGTTTCGTTGGTTATTGGTAAAAGTTCTGAAAATTCCTTTTGGTACTTCAATTCGGTTCTGGGCACGTATCTCATGGTACCTGTGATGGGAACAATATTGGTGTCTTCATATTTTCCGTCATGAATCATTGATAATAATTCTACATATAGTACTTCAGGACTTTCTTAACGACCTGCACGAACACTATTTTGTACGGCAATATATGTTATGCCATTAATTAGACAAGCAACAGCATTTCAGCGAGTGATTTAGCAAGTTATCAACATAGAACAGCTGAGAATATAATAAAAATTGTGGTGTTTAAAAATCACCCTGTATATAACAAGTTATAATTTAACAAGACCTGTTTACATTTACACAAAATCATTTAAAATACCTAGTTCATTTTTAAAAAACATGAGCGGATAAGTTTTAACTATACGGGGTGGACCACCAGGAACTACATCGATCGATAAGCTCAAAAATGGGATTTAGAAAAAAAATTCAAAATTTGGGAACTTGCAAGATGTTTTGGGGCCAATTTAGCTAAAATATTATAACGCAGCACCCTGCAGCGTGCTCCGGTCGTCATAAGTAAAGGTACGAGTAAATGAAGAAGATGGAATATTCAAGAAATGTCTCTGAATATCATTCCTTGTCAAAGAAAAATCCAGATTGTTTGAGAAGGTTCTAGAAGGTGGATGTAAGCTATATAAGTCGACGACCTGACGTCAGTGGGGAGTTTTATGATAGACGTTATACGTTAATGTTATCAGTTTGATAGTTATTGTTAAAGTTGAATTGAGTTATTTTAAAGTTGAATTTAAATAAATTGTAATACCAAAAACATATATAACAATATTTTCATCAATTAGGCCCTTCTGGTTATATCGGAAATAGACCTTAATTTGCCTATTTTAAATAAGACACTATTTATTACTATATTTTTGGATTCTACTCAAAATTTTAGGTAGATTTTATGTAGCTATATGAAAAACATTGATTTTTTCCAATTTATTTTCTTTTTGAACACCCTGTATGAGTGGTTATCCTAAATGAAAATATTTTAGTTTAATAGGATCCAAGACATCTAGCAAGTTCCCAAATTTGCAAAAAATTTTCTACGATATCGATCGATGCAGGTCCTGCCCGGTCCACCCTGTACATTTTAAATGCTTTATATGTAGAAATGTATAAATAACAGACAACCAAGATAAGTAGTATTACAATTGGTTGTACATATATGATAAGAAAATACATAAATAAATCATTTAAACATTAAAATTTATTATGAAGTTATTAGTCACAATAGTAATAGTTATTTTATATTTATGAAAAAATTACGCAGTCAATAATAAAATAAAAAAATTATCTTTGCCTACCTAACCT